CTGAGGGGTGATTCCCTGCTGCAGCGCCGTGGGGGTGGCCCCCACTGCAGCAGCCCTGGGTCGTCTTCTCTGCAAGTCCTCCTGGGCCAGCTCCCTCACCTGTTCCACTTCCCCTCCTAAATCCTCAGCTCAGGGTCCCCTTCTGAAGGCCCCCAACCAAAGGCAGCCCTGAAGAGCAAATGTCTGTGGCTGCAGGAAAGGAATCCTCTGATTTGAAGGCTTTTGATGAGTTGTGGTGTCCTGGGAGGCCTGTGGGGGCTTTGATTCCTGTTCCCTGTCCAGAGCTCTGGCCTGTCCCTGTCATCCGGGGTCAAGGGAGGCAGGCCTGTAAGCCCAGGATCATGAGGCCAGAGACATTTTCATTTTCTTTTCTTTTGGATGCTTTTTTTGTGACTCTGCCACTTCACAATGCAATGTTTACGCTCTGAAACCCTGAAAACTGCCAAATTTCACCCAATTTAGTTTAATTTCTCAAAGAGCTTGGCATTGTGTTAGAAACCCAGACATTCCCATGGCCCAGTTCCTATTTAAAAACTGACTATCTATTTAAAGTTCATGATGAAGAAAAAAAGTTCGTAAAAGAAAAAGACTCCCAAAGCCAACAAGGAAACATGAAATAGGCTAAGGAAAAATCCCGTTCACTTCTAAAAAAGGCTGAAAATTACAGCCATCCATTGGTGTCTTAAGACTCAGAATTCTTTTGTGCCTTCTGGTTGTTTGTAAAACAAAGAGGAACCAGAGCTGTGCCACTAAGGTTCCTCCGGCCGGATGGAGAACTGGTGGTGTTTCGGAGCTGTCCCGTCATCCCCCATGCCTCTGATTTCCACAGCGCTGAGCCTGGAACTTAGCAAAGCTGCCTGGCTCCTTTTATGAACAACAAAACTGTGATGAAGGCAACAGGAGTCAGAAAACTATTCATGGCAGGAAGCCCCGGTATCCGGTAAGATACAAGAAGCACAGCCGCACAGGATACGCCTTGGGTCAGGGGACGTGAACAGCCCGAGCCTTTGTGTCCTCCTTTCTGCCAGAGCAGCGGCAGCTCAGCCCTCAGCTCCCCTCAGGGCACAGCTGGGAGCACAGATAGAAGCTCAGTCACTGCCATCACTGAGGGGCTTATCACCTTCATTGAGGGGGCAGCAGAATGGCCACCTCCACCCACCTGCTGCTGCTGCTGCTGCTGGGTCAGCCCTGGGCCACAGCTGGGGCCGCCATGGAGGCTGTGGTGTGCGCAGACACCGCCTGCTACACAGCCCACTGGGGCAAGCTGAGCGCAGATGAGGCCCAGCAGCACTGCAGCAAGAACGGGGGCAAGCTGACCACAGTGAAGAGCGAGGAGGAGGCCGGGCATGTTCAGCGAACCCTGGCCCAGCTCCTGAGCCTGCAGGCATCCCTGGCTGCGAGGATGGGCAAGTTCTGGATTGGGCTCCAGCGAGAGAAGGGCAAATGCCAGGACCCCAGGCTGCCGCTGAAGGGCTTCAGCTGGGTGGGTGGCGGGGAGGACACGCTCTACACCAACTGGCACAAGGAGGCCCGCAACTCATGCATCTCCAAGCGCTGTGTGTCCCTGCTGCTGGACCTGTCCCTGACACCCACCACCAGCCGCCTCCCTAAGTGGTCTGAAGGCCCCTGTGGGAACCCTGTCTCTCCCGGAAGTAACATCGAGGGTTTCGTGTGCAAGTTCAGCTTCAAAGGCATGTGCCGACCCCTGGCTCTGGGGGGCCCAGGCAAGGTGACCTATTCCACTCCCTTTCAGGCCACCAGCTCCTCCCTGGACGCTGTGCCCTTTGCCTCTATGGCCAGTGTGGCCTGTGGGGACGGGAATGAGAGTACCAGCCATTATTTCCTGTGCAAGGAGAAGGAGCCCAACGTGTTTGAGTGGAACAGCTCGGGTCCCCTTTGTGTCAGCCCCGACTATGGCTGCAACTTCAACAACGGGGGCTGCCAGCAGGCCTGCTTCGAGGGCGGGGACGGCTCCTTCCGCTGTGGCTGCCTGCCGGGCTTCCGGCTGCTGGATGACCTGGTGACCTGTGCCTCTCGGAACCCTTGCAGCTCCAGCCCATGCATCGGAGAGGCCACATGTGTCTCTGCACCTCATGGGACAAACTACACATGCCACTGTCCCCAAGGTTTCCAAGTGGACGAGAGTCAGTTGGGCTGTGTGGATGTGGATGAGTGTCAAGACAGCCCCTGTGTCCAGGCCTGTGTCAACACCCATGGGAGCTTCCGATGTGAGTGCTGGGTGGGCTACGAGCCCAGCAGCCCTGGGGAAGGTGCCTGCCAGGATGTGGATGAGTGTGCCCTTGGCCGTTCACCCTGCACTCAGCGCTGTACCAACACTGATGGCTCGTTCCATTGCTCCTGTGAGGAGGGCTATGTGCTGGCTGGGGAGGATGGCACGCAGTGCCAGGATGTGGACGAGTGTGCCGGCCCTGGGGACAGCCTCTGTGACAACCTCTGCTTCAACACACAGGGCTCCTTCAGCTGTGGCTGCCTGCCAGGCATGGAGCTGGCCCCCGATGGGGTCTCCTGCATCATAGCCCCTGTGTCTCTGGTCCCACTGGCTGGGGCTCCCCAAGAGGAGGACAATGGAAAGAGAGAGCGGAGACCCATGCCCTCTGCTACTACACTCAGTCCCACCAGGGGCCCTGAGACAAGCTTTGAAGCAGTGCCTGCCTCCAGGAAGCCCCCATCCAGCACGCCCATCACCTCTGCCCTGCCTGAGACGCTGGCCCCCAGTGGGGCCCCTGAGGTCCGAGTGAATCCTGGCACCCACCAGCCCACAGCTGCCACTGGTCACCGTGAGTCTGCAGGTAGGGATTCGGTGGCCACACAAAGTGATGATGGCACTGACGGACAGAAGCTGCTTTTGTTCTACATCCTGGGCACTGTGGTGGCCATCCTGCTCCTGCTGGCTCTGGCGCTAGGGCTTCTGGTCTGTCGCAGGCGGAGAGCTAAGCAGGCGGAGAAGAAGGAGAAGATGCCCTCAAACGCAGCAGACAGTTACTCCTGGGCTTCAGAGCGGGCAGAGAGCAGGGCCACAGAGAACCAGTACAGGTAAAGGGGCCCCAGGACCCGGGAAAGAGGAGAAGGGAAGGCACAGGGTGGGGGAGGCGTGGCCATAGCATGAAAGGCAGAGGCCAGGAGCAGGAGCAGGCACAGGGTCCCCATAGGTGACACATGACAGATGCCAACCCTGGAAGTGCAGGTCGCTGCACTGCA